ATCATTATTATTTAAGGAAAATTAAGCTCTGCTCTAGGATATTACTTAAGGAAAATTAAGCTCTGCTCTAGAATATTATTTAAGGAAAATTAAGCTCTGCTCTAGAATATTATTTAAGGAAAATTATGCTCTGCTCTATATTATTACTTAAGGAAAATCAAGCTCTGCTCTATATTATTACTTAAGGAAAATTAAGCTCTGCTCTAGGATATTATTTAAGGAAAATTAAGCTCTGCTCTAGAATATTACTTAAGGAAAATTATGCTCTGCTCTAGAATATTATTTAAGGAAAATTAAGCTCTGCTCTATATTATTACTTAAGGAAAATTAAGCTCTGCTCTAGAATTTTACTTAAGGAATATTAAGCTCTGCTCTAGGATATTATTTAAGGAATATTAAGCTCTGCTCTAGAATATTATTTAAGGAAAATTAAGCTCTGCTCTAGAATATTATTTAAGGAAAATTAAGCTCTGCTCTATATTATTACTTAAGGAAAATTAAGCTCTGCTCTATATTATTACTTAAGGAAAATTAAGCTCTGCTCTAGAATTTTACTTAAGGAATATTAAGCTCTGCTCTAGGATATTATTTAAGGAAAATTATGCTCTGCTCTATATCATTACTATTTAAGGAAAATAAAGATTTGCTTTTACTACTATACTACTCTAATAATACTTTACTATTACTATACTATACATCTACTATACTACTATACACACTACTATTCTATACTACTATACTCTGATACTACTATACTATACTATACATATGACTATACTATACTACTACTATACTACTATACTTACTATATATATTACTCCGATACTACTACTATGTTTTACTACTATACTACTGCTATACTATTCTATATTACTATACTATCCTATACTATATATATATATATATATATGAAAATATACATATATACATATATACTAATATACTATACTACTATCCTATACTATACTACTATATTATACTACTTTTCTATACTACTATACTACTACTATACTATACTACTACTATACTATACTATGAGATACTATTCACAGATTGTGCTTCGTCAGTTGGTAGGCCAAAGTCTACCTATTCTCCTTTCCTTGAGATTCTGGGGATATTTTTTTCATTTCTAGGGATCTTCATATCAACGCTGTTATTGCCGACATAACGATTATTATCATTATTATGCCAGTTATTATTATTATTAGGATTATTATTATTATTACGATTATTATTTTTATTATTAACATTATTATTATTATTACAATTATATTTTATCATTAGGATTATTATTTTTATTATTATTATTATTATTACAATTATTGTTATTTTTATCATTACGATTATTATTATTATTATTAAGATTATTATTATTATTATTATTACTAATATAATTATTATAATGCTATTAACAATACTGCAATAAAAAGAATATTTTCCAAGATTCAAGACAGAGTTAACGGGTGAAATGATAAAGACTATTACAAAAAAAAAGAAAGAAAAAAAAACAAACAAACTCACTGGATCTCCATGACTAAGTACATACAGAGCTATATCTATATATATATATATCTTTATATATATATATATAAAGAAAGAAAGAAAGAAAAAAAACAACCCTCACTGGATTTGGGTTTTGTGATGATCATGTCACGCAAAAAAAAAATTTGGCAGAGGGCCTTGGTAGGGGGGAATATATGGCCAAAAGAAATCCCTGGGGTGGGGTGACCAGGGACTGACTCACCGCGAGTGCGTGAAAGTCTCGGAGGAATTTAGGAAGAGCCTCTTGCATCATATCCACAGGTAAATAAAACTGCACCGTAAGCGAGGCATTTCCACGGAGAACATTTGCATACCCAGGATCCTGCGCTATACAGTCTGCAAGGAAAAACAGTCTATTACCCTCTGCCTATAGCATATACAGCAAATATTGCTTTTGGAAAATAACAAGTCAAGCAAAAAGGTGCTTATGTAGAAAAAGAGATAACACTGGATAAGAAATACGAGATAACGAGGAATCTTGACAGCCAACAATGCCCTGATTTTGGGCCGTGAGTGGGCAATGAGGTACCCGGATCAGAAAAGTTAATAAACTAAGTACACTGTGGGCATGGCGTGGGCTTGTGGGGCATTCCTGGTGGCAATAGGTGAACCTAGAAATAAATCAAACAGAAATTGAGTGATGATTATGAGATACATTATACAAACACACACACGCACACACACACACACACACATGCAATATATATATATATATGTATGTAATATATATATATATATATATATATATATATATATTATAAATATATATATATATATGTATGTATGTGTGGGTACATACATACATATATTATTATAATATATATATATATATATGTATGTGTGGGTACATACATACATATATTTATATATACACACACATATATTATATATATACACACATTTATACAAATATATATATTTGCATGCATATATATGTATATTGCATATATATATATACATATATATATATATATATATATATATATATATATATATATATATATATATATATATATATATACATATATATATATGTTATAAGTGATATATCCAAATATACATATTTGAATAAATGTGTGTATATATATAATAGGTGTGTGTATATATATATATATATATATATATAAATATATATATATATATATATATATATATATATGCATGTAATATATGTATATATATCACGTGCATATATATATATATATATATATATATATATATATATATATATATATATATATATATATATATATACTACATGCATATACATATATATATATATATCACATGCATATATATATATATATATATATATATATATATATATATATATATATATATATATGCATGTAGTATATATATATACATATACATAAACATATACATGTATATATATATATATATACTACATGCATATACATATATATATATATCACATTCATATATAAATATCTATATATACCTTTATATTTATATATATATATCTATACATATATACATAAATATATATATATATTTATATATATATATATATATATATATATATATATATATATATATGTATATATTACTTGCTTATATTTATATATATATGTATATATATGTATATGTGTGTGTATATATATATATATATATATATATATATATATATATATATATATATATATGTCGTGCATATATAAATATAATATATATATATATATATATATATATATATATATATATATATATATATATATGCATGTAATATACATATATATACACACATATATATATATACATATTATATTATGAATGGAAAATCAGAGATATGTAAAAACTACACGCACTGATATATATCAAAATCTACACAGGCAAAGAATAAAATTAAAAAATAAAGAAAATGAAGAAAAATACATATATATATAGTACATATATATTAATATATATGTGTATAAATATATTTATATAAATAAAGATATATACACATATCATGTGTATATATATATATATATATATATATATACACACACAGACAAATACATATCAAGTTGTGTATACATATATATATATAACATGTACGGAAAATCAGAAATATGTAAAAACACACAATGACATATAACAGGATCAACACAGGCAAAGATTAACACGAGAAATGAAGAAAATGAGACAAACGTCGCCCTAAGAATAAGTTAAGAATATGAGAATAAGAATTAAGAATGTAAGAATAAACCCTAACAATAAATTCCCACACACTTCCCCTCCTGCCTCACGGCGAAGAAGTTAGCTGACTGTAATCTAACAGACTATCAGGACAAGAGATCGTTGTCCTGCCTAACAAGCCCTGACAAAGCTAAACTACAAGCCTTTCTCAAGAGGTGATTGCAATCTTCTCAGCAATTGGCCAGAAGAAGAAGCCTGTTATGGTGTGAGTGCTTTGGGCTGAGTATTTCGAGCTGTTGTACCAGGTTGGTCCACCAGCAATTAACTTGGATGCGGGTAGCGTCGAGATAACTTTGCAGGACCCACTCATCAGCGAAGGATCCACCCTCCTTAATTTAAGTTGGGGGAGGGGGGTGGGGGGTGGGGAATCACCAAGTTGAAGAGTGGTAAAAGTAGTGGGTATCTGTGGCATTCCAGCTGAACTGTTGAAGGCTGGTGGAGAGCTTAGGGCAAGGGGGCTGTCTGCCATCTGACAGAGCGGTACCATTCCCCCTGACCTACTGAGGGGTGTGGTCGTCCCTCTCTGGAAGGGGAAAGGGGATCTGTGGGACTGCAGCAATCACCGAGGCATTACACTGCTCAGTATACCAGCCAAGGTTCTTGCTCACATCCTTCCGAGACGTATCAGAGACCACCTGCTGAGTGACCAGAGACCAGAGCAATCTGGATTCACTCCTGGTAAGTTAACAATAGACCGCATCCTGGCGCTTTGAGTCATTGTAGAGTGCCATTGTTAGTTCAGGTAAGGGCTACTTGCAGCTTACATCGACCTCAAGGTGTTTGATATGGTGCATCACAAGTCACTGGGAGATCCTGAGGCTAAGAGGAATTCCAACAAGGATTGTTGGATTAAAAAAGAAAATAGCAAACCTGTATACCGGCACTGAAAGTGCTGCAAAATGTGGTGGGGGCCTGTCGATCTTCTTCCCTGTTAGTTCAGGTGTGAGGCAAGGCTGTGTTCTTGCACCAGCACTTTTCAACACTTGCATGGACAGGATACTGGGAAGAGCTACTATCCAAAGTCACATTGGAGCAACTGTGGGCAATATCAAGGTTAACCCATTCGCCAAGGAATTTATGTTCTGTCCCCTGTTGGTTTTGGTGAATTTTGCTACCTACAGATGGCTCCACATGTACTCAGCCGGCAAGGAGTCTATCAGTAGGCCCTAGTTACCAACCCTGATTTTCCCATTCATTGAATTGGCGGGAAAATTAATATCATTGCTTTCGATGCTGTTATTATTGTTACTGATGTTATGATGATTGAATTGTCATTAGAATATTTTTGACAATAAGATGATACAAAAAACCCTTTCCGAAAGTGAAGGAAAAGGCTAAACAGGTGAAATAGGTAGTTCTTGATAACTGGCTATTTGGTGATTAAGAACTTGTAGAGCCATCTAGGTGTAAATACAATAAATAAACGTGTATCAAAGTGGGTATGGCATCTATTCTTGCCAACCGTGGCGAATGGGTTAAAGACCTCGACTTTGCTGATGCTGTTACTATTCTGAGTCTCTGGAAACCCTAGTGGTGGCACGAGATGTATTTAGCAATGAAGCGAAGCCCTGGTACTAAAGGTCTCCTGGACCAAGACCAAGATTCAGGACCTTGGGGGCCCTGCAAAGAGAACCTAAGCTCTACCAGTACAAGCTTGCAGTGAGAACATGGAGACCTCAAAGATTTCAAAGTTTTACATACCTTACTGGTGTAGTTCATGACTCCTGGCTGTCGGACCAGGAAGTCAGTGGATGGATAGGCCTGGCAGAGGTGGTCATGAAATCACTCGACAGGAGTATCTGGGAGATGCCGGTACCTGTGCAGAAAGACCAAGCTATACATCTTCAAGGCCCTGATACTGCCAGTTTTACTATATCCCCTTGCCGCCGGGTGACGCCGATCGGCGTGTAAACAAAGAGCTCGAAAGCTGGCGTGCAGCCAAACGAGCCGGCGGCGCGCCAAAGCGCGGCGAGCCAGTGATTCGGGCTGATGTCCCCTACTCACGCGCTCAAAGTCAGCGTGCCGCCTTTGTTTGTTTAAGCGTAGAGTTTTTTTTTTCTTTTGTACACCCGGCGCCATTGGGATATGGTAGTGAAACCTTGACGCTGTCTTGTACCTTAGACTCCTGTTATAAAAGGCCTTTTGTAACAGGTCCTTGCACCGGATCATGGGGTACAGTTGGCAGGAAAACATGTCCAACCAACAGTTACACCATGAGACTAGTACAGGACCTGTTACTTGCACAATCCGTGATCACCAACTCAGGCTATACGACCACTTGGCTCGATTCCTGCAGGATGACCCTGCCTACCAGGTTGATGACCCTGCCCACCAGGTTGTCTCTGTCCGAGACACAACCCTGGGTGGAGTGTGCTTGTGGGACAACAAAGGATCTCATGGCCTGGGCTGATTGACCAAACCTGTCGTGACGAGATGGAGATGGGCCGAGATCCTGGTGCATCACATTATAATTAACATAACCAGTACATACATATTAATTATATGTATGTATAATTAAATATGATAAATTTCCATAGGCGTAACACATAATAATCAGAATAAATGTAAGAGCCTAAGGAAATATATACTTTGCCTTCATTTCCACTGTATTCCTTCGAAAACACAATAGCGACATAATTCTACAATTGTACTATAGGAATACAATTATACATTATACAATTACAATTATACATCTACAATTATACTATAGGAATACTCCCCACAGTACCGAAATTAGTCGAAGAATTCTAAATAATGGTGGAATTCGGTAGAATTCTGCACCGGGAGAGATTCTCGGCACGGGGCCTGTTTACCCCTTTATTGGCTTATGCCGGAGCGCCACCAGGAAAGAGGAGCCTCTTCTGGCAGGGGAAACCACTCAGGTGTTGCCAAAATATCATGTTAAAAACGTTAAAACAAGACTTGATAAGCAAAAGAAAAAAATCTTGGTAAGTGGCAGGTAACCCTTGGAAAAAAAAGTAAAAAAAATAGAATGAAAAAGTGAAATCAGGAATTAAAAAAAAAAGAGAAAAAAAAATTTAAAAAAGGAAATTAGAAATAAACTTAGATAACATTTGAAAAACAACGATGAAAGGTATCACACTCACAGTCTTGTCCACACTACACGCTGGTAACTGCTGACACTATACACTAAATGCACCATATACTATATACACTATACACACTATACAATAACCACTATACACACTATACAATAACCACTATACACTAAATACACCATATACTATATACACTAAACACTATACCCTATATACATGATACACACTATATACAAAATATACACTATATACAGTATACCCTATATGCAATATACCCTATATACAATATACACTATATACATTATACACTAAACACTATATACAATTTACCCTATATACACTATACACTACACACTATATACAATATACCCTACATACACTATACACTACACACTTTATACAATATACCCTATGTACACTATATATTATATACTATATACACTAAACATTATATACACAATACCCTATATGCACTAAACACTATATACAATATACCCTATATACACTATACACTACACACTATATACAATATACCCTATATACACTATATACTATATACACTATATACTATATACACTATACACTATATACACTAAACATTATATACACAATACCCTATATGCACTAAACACTATATACAATATACCATATATACACTATACACTAAGCACTATATACACTAAATACACCATATACACACTATACTATACACTATATACTATTTACAATATACTCTATGTACAATATACTATAAGTGTCGACAATATACACCGTGTCACTAAAAGCAAATCGCCTTCATGACTTTTATTTTTATTCTTTTTTAAAAACCAAACAAGGATCCAACCCAAGCTTTATCCCGTCAAATTCGGTTTCGGTTTGAGTTTCGGTTTAGGGAAAAGATCAAGTTAGGGTTCAGTTAGGATTGAGTTAAATTTAAAAAAAAAGAAAAAAGAAAAAAAGAGATTGGACTTATGAACTTGGGTTACGTACAAAAAAAAAAAAAAAATTATAATACATACATACAGAAAGAAATGTTACGTATATATAAAAATGAACTTGGGTAATTAGAAATAAACTTAGATAACATTCGAAAAACAACGATGAAAGGTATCACACTCACAGTCTTGTCCACACTACACGCTGGTAACTGCTGACACTATACACTATATACACTAAATGCACCATATACTATATACACTATACAATAACCACTATACACACTATACACTATATACAATAACCACTATACACTAAATACACCATATACTACATACACTAAACACTATACCCTATATACATGATACACACTATATACATAATATACACTATATACAGTATACCCTATATACAATATACACTATATACACTATACACTAAACACTATATACAATATACCCTATATACACTATACACTACACACTATATACAATATACCCTATATACACTATACACTACACACTTTATACAATATACCCTAAATACACTATATAATATATACACTATATATTATATACCTTATATACTATATACACTATACACTATATACACTAAACATTATATACACGATACCCTATATGCACTAAACACTATATACAATATACCATATATACACTATACACTAAATACACCATATACACACTATACTATATACTATATACTATTTACAATATACTCTATGTACAATATACTATAAGTGTCGACAATATACACCGTGTCACGAAAAGCAAATCGCCTTCGTGACTTTTTTATTTTTATTATTTTTTTTTACACCAAACAAGGATCCAACCCAAGATTTATCCCGTCAAATTCGGTTTCGGTTTGAGTTTCGGTTTAGGAAAAAGATCGAGTTAGGGTTCAGTTAGGATTGAGTTAAATTGAAAAAAAGAAAAAAAAAGAAAAAAAGAGATTGGACTTATGAACTTGGGTTACGTACAAAAAAAAGAAAAAAAAGAAAATTATAATACATACATACAGAAAGAAATGTTACGTACATATAGAAATGAACTTGGGTTACGTAAAAAAAAAATTATAATACATACATAATGTTACGTATATATAGAAATGAACTTGGGTTACATACAAAGAAAAAAAAAAAGGAAAACGAAAAAGAAAAACAATAGAAATAGGAAATAGAAATAGCCAAAAATAGACAAAATAGCCGTCATCCTGAGTCATAATAATGATAAAATTCATAGCGGAGACTTGTTGGCCTTTGCCAGAGCATTAAGGGTGACAGTCTTAACATTAGCTTAGCCTACTTAAAAAAAGAAAAGAAAAAAGGAAAATAAACAATAAACTAATTAACTCACTAATTTAATGAACTAATTTTGGGAAAAAAAAACAAAACAAAAAAGCTAAATGGGGAAACCGTCTTAACATAAGCTTAGGTTACATTAAAAAAAAAAAGAAGAAGAAAAAAATTATAATACCAATCAATGTGAAAATAGAATATATATATATATTTTTTTCTATAATAGCATAAATAATTTTTTTCAACGTATAAAGAAAAAAAAAAAAAAAGTCGTCCCGAGTTCAGTTTAAATAAATAACGACAATAAAAAAAAATGTCTCTCCCTTTCTCATATAATTTAACTCAAATAATTCAATAATAATTACAGTAATAATAATAATAATAATATATATAATTTGACCTAATAAAAATTAATATAATTCAACTCTATCATCTAAAATCTTTATTATTTCATTATTATCACATATTATTATTATCATTTATTCTGATAATTATTAATATTTCTATTATTATTATTATTATCAATATCATTAATATTATTATTATTATAATTATCGCTATTATAATTATCATTATTATTATTTATTTATTATAATTATTATTATTCATTATAATTGTCTCATACACTTTCGAAAATAATTAATAATTAATGTAATAATATTAATTATTATTATATATTATTATTAAATTATTAATAATATTACCTTAATGATCAAATTACTTAATGAATAATAATAATTAACTTAATTTAAGCTCAACTAATTTAATAATAATAAAAAATAAAAATAATTTTTTTTTTATCCTTTCCCTGTCTACGATCTTTATCACTTCGATTACCTGTTTCCTTCTTCCTTCTTTCCTCTTCTTCTTTTTCTTCCTATTCCTCTTCCTCTTCTTCTTCTACCTCTTCCTCTTCTTTTTTCTCTTTCTTCTTCTTCTCCTTCCTCTTCCTTTTTCTCTCTTCTCCTTCCACTTCCTCTTCCTCTTCTTCTCCTTCTTCCCTTTCCTCTTCTTTTTTTTTCTCTTTCTTCTTCTTCTTCTTTTAAAGGGATGAGAAAAATAACATAAATATTATACGAAGGTTTGTTTACGTTCGCGTAAAGTGAATCCGGATTCCTTTGTTCGCGTAAAGTGAATCCGAGTTCAATCGTTCGCGTAAAGTGAATCCGGATTCATTCGTTCGCGTAAAGTGAATCTGAATACATTCGTTCGCGTAAAGTGAATCCGGATTCAATCGTTCGCGTAAAGTGAATCCGGATTCCTTTGTTCGCGTAAAGTGAATCCGAGTTCAATCGTTCGCGTAAAGTGAATCCGGATTCATTCGTTCGCGTAAAGTGAATCTGAATACATTCGTTCGCGTAAAGTGAATCCGGATTCAATCGTTCGCGTAAAGTGAATCCGGATTCCTTTGTTCGCGTAAAGTGAATCCGAGTTCAATCGTTCGCGTAAAGTGAATCCGGATTCATTCGTTCGCGTAAAGTGAATCTGAATACATTCGTTCGCGTAAAGTGAATCCGGATTCATTCGTCCGCGTAAAGTGAATCCGGATTCCTTTGTTCGCGTAAAGTGAATCCGGATTCAATCGTTCGCGTAAAGTGAATCCGGATTTATTCGTTCGCCTAAAGTGAATCCGGGTTCAATCGTTCGCGTAAAGTGAATCCTGATTCAACCGTTCGTGTAAAGTGAATCCGGATCGACCGACTCCCAAGCTCATGAAGAAAACGGAGAGAAAACGGCGTTGTTTGGGGGGGGAGGGGGGACTTACGTATTTCAACTATCGATGTTATGGCAACTAGATTATCCTATTCCCTATGTCTATATGTTATTTTTATTTCTGTATGTATATACACTCGTATATATAGATATATAGTATTATACCTAAACCCCTGTATACAGGTTTGCTATTTTTTCTGTATGTCTTTTTTTCTGTATGTATATTTTCTTTATGTAAATATTTTTTTTTTTCTGTATGTATATACATCCGTATATATATATATATATGTATGTATAGTATTATATCCAAACCCCCACACTTAAAATAACAGAACCTATGTTTACCAAGCAGGAGAACACACCATTCAATGAAAATTTTCTTCTATAGCAATGCCTCCGCAATACTGAGAATAAACTTTAACAAAGGTGTAAAATCCTGTAAAATCGAGCCTCGCGAGAAAAAGACAATTGTAAGAACTGTTAGACGTCCAGACACTAGTGTATGATTGTATATATATTGTGGGGATATATATTATGGGGATTTATAATGTATATACATTGTGGGATATAGTGTATATATATTGTGGGGTTATATTATTGTATATATACATTTTAGGGTATATATAATGTGGGGATATATATTGTATACATATTGTAGGGGATATATATATTGTGGGGATATATATTGCATATATATTGTGGGGATATATATTGTATATATATTGTGGGGATATATATTGTATATATATTGTGGGGATTTATTGTGGGGATATATATTGTATATATATTGTGGGGATATATATTGTATATATATTGTGGGGATAGATATTGTATATATATTGTGGGGATATATATTGTATATATATTGTGGGGAATATATATATTGTGGGGATTTATAATGTATATATATTGTGGGGATACATTATTGTATATATATTTTGGGGCATATATGTATTGTGGGGATTTATATTGTATATATATTGTGGGGGATATATATATTGTGGGGATATACATTGTATATATATTGTGGGGATTTATATTATATATATTTTAGGGAATATATATATTGTGGGGATATATTATTGTATATACATTTTGGGGGATATATATATTGTGGGGATATATTATTATATATACATTTTGGGGGATATATATATTGTGGGGATTTATATTATATATATATATATTGTGGGGGATATATATATTGTGGGGATTTATATTATATATATATATTGTGGGGGATATATATATTGTGGGCATATACATTGTATGTATAGTGGGGATTTATATTATATATATTGTGGGGATTTATGTATATATATATTGTGGGGATATATTATTGTATTGTAGTGATTGACTCTTGTTGATTAGGTCATCTTGCTAATTAGGTCATTAGCGCTGCCACCACCTGGTTAGTACGTCCAGGAACTATAAGTGTACCGAAGGGAGAAGACGTCTAGAAGAGTGTAAATAGAAAAAAAAGGAAAGTATGTACGTAAGAAAAAGGAAAAATGACCTAATTAACAAGAGTTTGCCTGGTAAGCGTGTTAATTTCCGAGAGGAATGTGTGTCAGCCTTAAGGAATGAAAGAAGGTAGTCAGTTGCTTGTCACAGGTTGCCAAGTATGGTATGATTTGTCTCTTAAAAAGGTTTAAATTAGAACGAGGGATTTCACTTGTGAAGTCTTAAAAATACTTTAAACATTGGAAAAACATTTGTAAAAGGATACTTAGAAATACACGAAAGGTAAACACTAAAACGCACAAAAAACGATAAAAAACTGAACCTAAAACACACACACACACACACAAAGAAGCACTCTGTTAAAACTATAAATATAAGAAAAACCTAAAAATATCCCACCTTTACTGCCATTAAAAAACCTCTGACCTTGCGACCGCAGGGGATCAAAAAAACAAAAACAAAAACAACGTCTCTAGTTTCCGCCGGGTATACTTTGGCCGCTAAGTAGACATGAGCATACTATCCAGACCCCCTGCGTCCTCCGCTCCGTTTCCGGGCTATATATAGCCGACCCCCAGCAAGGATTTAACTAATAGGCTAGTAACTAGCCCCGGGAACGAGCTAATCTATCTTCCCCTCCCTAGATGACGTGGCAGTTCTTCGTCCATGAAGAAGAGTTTTTAATCTATATCTTTGATGTTACAACCCCTTACTCCCCATTAAAGTTACTAATACGATATTTAAAATAAGATATTAAAAGACGCCAGTGGTTATTTACCTTTTGAATAAAAAAGAGTGCTTAAAAAGAAAAGAAAAAAGAAAATGGTCACGGTTCTTCTCCATTATAATAATAAATCTTTATTTATCAGTAAAATCATTAAAAGCATAAAAAAAACAACATAAAAACCGGAGCAGAGAACACGTGCGGTTGCACGGGTAATTGCAGTTTCTTTCAGGGGAAACTGAAATAGATCGTGCTCCGGAACGGCTGGCGATGTATGGGTCACTACAGTATATATATATATTTTGGGGAATATATATATCGTGGGGATATATTATTGTATATACATTTTGGGGGATATATATATTGTGGGGATATATTATTGTATATATATTTTGGGGGATATATATATTGTGGGGATATATATCATATACATATTGTGGGGAATATATATATTGTGGGGATATATTGTATATATATATTTTGGGGAATATATATATTGTGGGGATATATATTATATATATTGTGGGGAATATATATATTGTGGGGATATATTATATATATATTGTGGGGGATATATATACTGTGGGGATATATATCATATGTATATTGTAGGGAATATATATATTGGGGGATATATTATTGTATATATATTGTGGGGAATATATATATTGTGGGGATATATATTATATATATATTGTGGGAATATATACTATATATATATTGTGGGGATATATATTATATATATAATGTGGGAATATATACTATATATATTGTGGGGATATATATTATATATATATTGTGGGGAATATGTATATTGTGGGGATATATATTATATATATTGTGGGGAATATATATATTGTGGGGATATGTTATTGTTTATATATTGTGGGGGATATATATATTATGGGGATATATATCATATATATATTGTGGGGATATATATTATATATATTGGGAGATATATTATTGTATATATATTTTGGGGAATATATACTATATATATTGTGGGGATATATATTGTATATATATTGTGGGGATATATATTATATATATATTGTGGGGATATAATATATATATATATTGTGGGAAATATATATATTGTGGGGATATATTTTTGTATATATATTTTTGGGAATATATATATATTGTACGGATATATATTATATATATTGTGGGGAATATATATATTGTGGGGATATATTGTATATATATTTTGGGGAATATGTTGTGGGGATATATATTACATATATATTGTGGGGAATATATATATTGCGGGGAATATATATATTGTAGGGATATATTATTGTATATATATTTTGGAGAATATATATATTGTGGGGATATATATTATATATATATATTTGGGAATATATATATTGTGGGGATAAACTGTATATATATTTTGGGGAATATATTGTGGAGATATATATTACATATATATTGTGGGGAATACATATATTGCGGGGAATATATATATTGTGGGGATATATTATTGCATATATATTTTGGAGAATATATATATTGTGGGGATATATATTATATATATATTTTTGGGAATATATATATTGTGGGAATATATTGTGGAGATATATATTACATATATATTTTGGGTAATATATATATTGCGGGGATGTATTACTGTATATACATTTTGGGGGATATGTATATTGTGGGGATATATTGTATATATATTGTGGGGATATATATTATATATATTGTGTGAATATGTATATTATGGGGATATTTTTTGTATATATATTTTGGGGAATATATATATTGTGGGGATATATATTATATATATATTGTGGAGAATATATATATTGTGGAGAATATATATATTGTGGGGAATATATATATTGTGGGGATATATTATTGTATATATATTTTTGGGGATATATATTGTGGGAGATATAGGATCTTATTTTTTTTCCGTAGTATCAACACGGTAGAGTGTTTTCACCATTCAGGGGATGTATTGTATCGGATATATTGTAGAAAGGGATATATTGTATAAAGAGATGTATTGTATAAACCGGATATATTGTATGAAAGGGGATATATTTATAAAATATGAAAGAATAAAAATATACTATTGTATATTTATAAAGTATACATATATGTATAAATATAAAGTATTGTATTGGATATATTGAAGCGAGTGGATATAGTGTTACATTGT